CCGACTCACAGCCATATCACGGAACACGGAGAGGCCGGCCAAGGCAGCTGAGGCGATCACCAGGAGGCGCCACGTGGTGGTGACGTATGCGCCGAGTGCCAGTATCTGGATACCGATGGAGAAGAAGGGTGGAGCCAAAGAGGCCAACGCGACTCCGTAATTGCGGCCCCACCAGCTCCGAGGACAAGGTGAAGCACGGCAGGCAGCCCACCTGCAGGACGGCCGGCCAGGAACCTGGCAAGGGATCGAACGCGTCAGGGGTCGGCAGCCAATGCATCCTCAGAGGGTCAGAGAGTAGGGGAAGCGAGGGGTTACGCTAGTCATGGGAGCAGGACACGCACATCTCCATAGGGGGCTGAGAACCCTGTCGCTGAGGTCCGAGGGGCCATGCGCGGCGTCATATGGCTTGCGTATGACTCATCCTCCCTTCCCTCTCCCTCTCCTCTCCTCTCCTCTCCCTCCTCTCCTCTCCTCTCCTCTCCTCTCCTCTCCTCTCCTCTCCTCGCCTCTCCTCTCCTCCTCTCCTCTCCTCTCCTCTCCTCTCCTCTCCTCTCCCCTCCCATCCGCTCCACTCATCTCCCCTTCCCTCCCCCCCTCCCCTCCTGCTTCTGCTTCCCACACCACCACCTGGAATAGTCCAGTGCGGGTCGTCGCACCTCAGCACGGCGAACGTGGCGTAGTTGGGGACGACGACCAAGGCGGCCACCAGCAGGGCCTGCAGGCCGAATGTGAGCAGCACGACCCGGCGTCGGCCGAACATGTCCGCCAGGGGGCTGACCAGAGGAGCGCCAATCGTCATGCCAGCCATGAAGAGCGACTGCAGCAGGTGTACGTCCGTTGTCCGCTCGCAGACCAGTGACCACTGCATGAGTAGGGGGGGGGGGGGGGGTCAGCTCTCACTGACCGATCCAGGGAGGGGGCAGCCCCATTGACCACCGTCGGCCGGCGTCAGTCCTCACGGCTGATCCAAGGGGGAGGGACAGACCAGCGACCACCACCGGTCCGGTCGGGCTTAACTCTCACCAGCCCAAGGGGGGATTGCGAGCGGGGAAAAGGTGAATCGACCGAAGGCGGTGGACAGGAAGTTCTTGAGGATCACGCTTGTAGGCGGTGGGCGCGGTGTTCGAAGCTTGTCCGCTTAACTGTACCGCATGTCGAGGTGCTACTGCAGGACTTGCGGGTGGAGACAAGTATCGTTGCAAGGATCGGAGATGTGGCATGGAGTCTCTTTTGAGCGTTGTGAACCATGCACCTTTACAGGAATGAGAAATGAAACAGGATGCGCTGTTAGGAGAAAAGATTGGTCAGATATCGCTGTAGGAATTACTGCAGTGTAATGCGATTACTGAGCTAAAATGACACCATTTATTTCGAATGCGGTGAATGTCAAAGTGTAAAGGAGCGATTGTTCGTCGGGCCGGATACCAAACCACATCAAAGACGCCATAGACACTACAGACACCACCACACACACAGATCCCACAGACGCCCCCAGACACAGGCCACACTATGTTGGGTCAAATACTCCGTTTGGGGAAGTGGGGTCAGGCCAGATATCACTACCGCAATGATAAAGATGGTCACGTCAGTGGCCTGATGTTCTACGTAAAGTGAGTGCCAGGGACATCCATTTCAGATCAACTGTCCAGACAACTTTCAGCGAAAGTAAGCTCAAAGTCCTGCAGTGCCCCTGGACCGCTTACTCATTAACCGAAAAGCCTTTTTAGAAATCAAACACAAGCGTGCTTGGAGCGGTTTTCATCATTTGGATGAAACAAATGTTGCAAACAACGTTAGTTGTAAGCCGACCGATAAAAAAGTAATTGCAAAGCTTAAGTTTCTAAAGATTCTCTCGGATTTCTGTTTTACTGGATGGATCTCAAGAAGCAACGGCTAGGCTATGCATGCTCGTAAGCCTTGATCCTACCACCCCATCTTTAAATTTCAGGGCACCGGCAGAAACTATCGGCCAAACCTAAAGGTACTACAATGCTCGGCAAGGATGACGTCACCAGTGCCGTTGTTCGAGTTCGCGGGCCATCTCAGTTGAGCGCAAACATAGAGCGTCTACAACAATTCGAACTCACCCCGCGCGGGCAGTAAGATCGCAATGTAGACGCCCCAATCAACTTAGCTACCGGAACAGAAGCAGCTGTGTGCACATAGCAAAACGATACTCACATGCAAGCCCCCGCACAATGCATGCCGTGCTTTTGAGTTTAATTGAACTCTAGTGCATGCCGCCGCCAACAGGCCGCACCTGTGCCTTCATGTCGAAGGTCAGGTGTCCTACGTTACCAGCACTCTATCACTGACCTCAGTCACCACGCTGGTGTACTCGGAACGGAACACGATGTCGTCGCAGAACGCTGTTGTGTCGTTGAAGCAGGCGTTCACGAGTATATCTGTCCCATTCGGCCCCTGTCGGTGGCACTCAAAGTTCGGGGTGTAACCTGCGACACGGAGAAAGGAGTTTGCATTGCATCAGTTAATCCCCTGGCCGTGCTGCAGTCTGCGGTTTTTCGGGCACCTTCGTGTTTACACGGCTATCTGACGGGAGGTCCGGTTTGGAAGCCTGCCACGGACAGGCCGAAAAGCCGATGCCACTACCAATTGTTCACGCCTGGTTAACCCGCATCACGCAACGCTGCTTGCACTGCTCTCTGACGTCATTTTGAGCAAACGTCAAGAACACTGCAGACATCAAACTCGTGTCAAGCGACATCAAAGCATTTAGTCGAATATTCAACAAAAGCAATTACTACCCGAGAGCTACGCCGTCAGCCTAACCTCTTCAACAATTGCATCAATTCTATGTGAGCGGGCTAAGTTCGCGGCCACCGTGAGGGCGCTCTCTGCGCAAACCCGCCCATTGGACCAGCTGGTCTTCTAGTGAAACAGTTGCACGCCGCCAATGAATCAGGTAGCATGGCAGTACACGCAGCGCGCGCGCGGCTCCATCACGCGGTCATCCGTGTTGAAATAATTTCGTATGAAAGCACGATCTTGCCACGATCTCGAGCTTGTTATCGGCTCGAGCTTGTAACTCTTTCTTCCAACGGCTCCCTCGTCCAGTGCG